CCCCAGCGTATTGTCTACCAAAAAATTGGGGTGGTAATAAATGTTTCATAACATTTCATAGGAAAACAGGTTTTTTTTTCAAAATGTTCGGTACTTTTAAAAAAATAAAAACCTCAGTGGTGATTAAATACCACCAAAAGAAAGCTCTATGTGTTCCCATAAAATGGTATAACATCAATTTCAGTACAGCGTTGTAAGACTGAATAAATGTCAGTCAAAGTACTGCAGCTCTGAATACTGAAAAATGGCCTGGACAGGAAGGGAGTGTAACACCCGGTCAGCGAGTGGTTAAACTATAGTTTTTGCTTTGAGTCCATCGAGTAACATAGTTTAATCTCCTGATAATTCTGCAGGAAGATCTGCTACTTTTCTACTTCCTGTAACAGTGTGACAACATCGTTGATGGGTAGTGTTGCATAGACATGTAATTATAACTGGAATTTAAGAGAAAAACAAAGTAAAGCTTAACTCCAGTCAACACATTTTAAGCAGTTACAGCAACACTTTTTTTTCTTCTGGAAAAAGGTTTCAACGATATAAAAAAAATGTATGGAGCGGCAGATAATGCTTTTTTATATAGAGTATGGCTATTTTCTCTCTCCATGCTACTGTATTTAAATGTTGCTTTTTAACTGTCAAATTCTCATTTGCTTTCTAGATAAAGAAAGATTACTTGGAGGGATTAGGAGACACTTTGGATCTGGTTGTTATTGGTGCCTATTTGGGGAAAGGAAAGCGAACTGGGAAATATGGAGGCTTTTTACTGGCATCATATGATGAAGAGAGTGAAGAATATCAGACGATATGCAAGGTTTGTCTGTGTTCTTGTTGAGTATGTACTTTCCTGTGTTAAGTGGTGTAAAATTCATTTTAACTGAGTAAACTTGGAAAAACTTAGATAATGCACATTTTATCAAATAACTACAGCATGCCACCTCAGCTGTTTGTGCAGCTCAGTTCTAAACTTACACCGATAGTCCACTTTTCTATTATTTTTCTTAATCAATAGTAACCCCAATGCTAATTTTACAGTATAGATAAACCTAGTCACTAAACTCTCATAAGCTTTAACACATTATTGTAATTTAAGAGGTCATTGTCAATATTTTTACATCTGCAGTGAAGATTCTTGTTCAGACACTCCTGTTATATAGTGACAACACTCTGCCCCTGCCTGCTAGTTGTTCTACGTTGACACCCTGTCATGGTCTCCCAGTAGAGACTACAAGAAGATGCACTGACATGCACAGGCATGTTCTGCTGTTATCACCATCAGAACCCGCCCAGAGAAATTAAATGCTGTAGTTGCTGAAGTGTATGCATGTATACAGTAAAGGGCTGAAACAGGCTGCAGGAGGCTAACAATGCTGAGATGTAAGAAAGAATGAAAATAAAGGGAACACTGTATTTCTTTATTGTCCTTTGAGCTACATTACTGTAGGTAATAATGTAGAATTGAAGGTATTCCCCATATAACCCTGCCTCTGCTTCATTTTTTTTTACTAGAGTTCTAGGAGGTTAGACATTTTTTCCCTCAGCTCTGCCTTAAAGTCTGCCTGAAATACTTGCATACTGTATTAATTCCCAAGTCCTGGCTAATTTGTAGGACATGCTGGACATTGGTCGCTCCCCCCAGCATCACATGAGTGATGATACATCTGTGTTCAAAAGCCACACATGCGTAGTGCTCTCTCTTTCCCTATTGCAGGGGGGTTTACACCTTTCTGAACACTAACTGCATGATGCTAAACCAGAGGCTATGCTTACTCTGGTTAAAACCACAGTCTTGGGAATGCAGTGGATAAGAAGTTTTAACATTCGCCTAAAGCCAAACCTTTTTTCTAATTATGGATAGAGTAGGGACTGTTAAAGTTAAATGTTGACGCTAAACCCATATGGTCTAAATACCCATAAAAATTGAGACTGTGTTACTTTCTAATGTTAAATAGTTTCTGCGAATAGCAATTGAAACTAATGTGTATGAGGCACGTCTCAGTGAACATGATCTATGCCAATTAACAAAAATAAATCTGCCGGCCAGTATAACAGTATCTATCTAATAACATAGGCATTTCATATGTTCAAAGTTGTGCTTATTTTATCAAATGTCTTGCAGGGAGCCTGTTAGGAAGCCAGTTACCTCTTACAACCATCCAGTACTGGAAGCTGCCATTATCCAACTCCCTGTTGCAGTGGTATTTCCTGAGCAGTATGATTCATAGTGACGTTTCTACCCCAAATATATCACTGCTTCCAGAAGTCAGCTAAGGGCAGCCTACAGTACTCAAAGGGATCCTCATCTGTATTGTGGAAAAATTCCACTTATTACTAAAGAGATTGTTTCATGTATGCGCAAAAGAAGTGCAGGACCAGCCAGGAGAGTTTGCAGCTGTGGCTGTGTCACGTCCCATTGGCTGTGCAGCCTGGATTGGGTAGGAGCATAGACAGAGGAATAAAATACTTTAGGATGGTGCTGGTGGATTGTGGAAGACAGAGGTAACTTGAAGAATAATTTGCTGCATGCTCATTCCTGGTATAGGACTTATTAGGTTGTAAAGCAAGTATCAGAGACATAGCTTGAGAGCCTAAACATTTCAACCTAAATGCCGATATGATAGGCACATATTAATGTATCTCTGTGTGAAATGCATTCTAAATGTAAGCGGTGTAAGTATCTGAATTATCAGGCTCTTGCAGTCCCTGTACAACAGAGCTCAGACTGGAGTGGGAGAAGCAACACAATCAGCAAGTAAACTGTGTAATATTGTTCATGTGCTAATTAAGGACACTCCTGCTAGGAGGAGAGAGCAGGGTGACAGAGAGAAGAGCTCATCAGTCTGCGTTTCCTGTCACTGTCCAGTCACGGACTGGGGTAGGGATAGACTTGTAAGTGTTATTTAGCTGCAGTGGAGGAAACTTGGGTCTCCTGCTCTGCTAGATACAGCTGTGCTGTGTGGCAGAGCTGTGTAAATTCTAGGACTACATGGAGAGAAATAGAAATTCTTTGGTAGGTAAAATGGTTCCCTTACATATGACATCTGTGTATTTAGCCATTTTCCTTGACTAGCTTTAAAAAACAAGGTAAAAATAGCGGCTTCCTTATTTTAAATGGCTTTTAATAGTTTACTTTAAATTACATTTAAGTTCTGTATAGGCAGACATTTGTCATTGAGCTTTCTATTGTGTCATTAGAATTAATGTAATTATTATCTTTATTCCAGATTGGAACAGGTTTCACGGATGAGGATTTGGAAACCCACTACAATTTCCTGAAGGTAATCCAACATGTAAAATAATGACGTGTTTCTCTAGACTTGATTCAACAGACACAAACGGTACGGTTATGATGTCTTTAGTAACAAGTATGAAAAGTTAGAGACTTCAGACATCATTTATATATCTTAATGCGATTCCTTCAAATTCTTCATTGTAGGACCATGTCATTGACGGAGCACGCAGCTACTACCGCTGGGACAGTTCAACACAGCCAGATCACTGGCTTGAGCCTGTGCAAGTTTGGGAAGTGAAGTGTGCAGACCTTTCAATCTCTCCTGTACATAAAGCTGCACTAGGACTGGTATGTATTTTGTGTAATTTGCATAAAGAAAGGCAAGATAGATATAGTGTGTGTGTGTATGTATGTATTTATATGTGTGTGTGTGTGTGTGTGTGTGTGTGTGTATGTGTATATATATATATATATATATATAATATATTGCCAAAAGTAGTGGGACACCCCAGGCCACGTAGCCAACTGTCTGCAGAGTCAATAGCTATAGACCTCCAAATTTCGCGTGGCCTTCAGATTGGCACAACAACAGTGTGTAGAGAGCTTCATGGAATGGGTTTCCATGGCCGAGCAGCTGCACCCAAGCCTTACATCACCAAGTGCAATCCAAAGCGTTGAATGCAGTGGTTTAAAGCATGCCGTCACTGGACTCTAGAGAAGTGGACACGTGTTCTCTGGAGTGACGAATCACGCTTCTCTAGCAATCTGATGGACGTGTCTGGGCTTGGTGGTTGCCAGGATAAAGGTACTTGCCTGACTATTGTGCCAAGTGTAAAGTTTGGTGGAGGGGGGATTATGGTGTGGGGTTGTTTTTCAGGGCTTGGGCTTGGCCCCTTAGTTCCAGTGAAGGGAACTCTTAAGGCATCAGCATACCAAGACATTTTGGACAATTTCATGGTCCCAACTTTGTGGGAACAGTTTGGGGATGGCCCCTTCCTGTTCCAACATGACTGCGCACCAGTGCACAAAGCAAGGTCCATAAAGACATGGATGAGCGTCCTGACCTCAACCTGATAGTACACCTTTGGGATGAATTGGAGTGGAGACTGCGAGCCAGGCCTTCTTGTCCAACATCAGTACCTGACCTCACAAATGCGCTTCATGAATGGTCAAACATTCCCATAGACACACTCCTAAACCTTGTGGACGCCTTCCCAGAAGAGTTGAAGCTGTGATAGCTGCAAAGGGTGGGCCAACTCAATATTGAACCCTACGGACTAAGACCGGGATGCCATTAAAGTTCATGTCCGTGTAAAGGCAGGCGTCCCAAAACTTCTGGTAATTTCATAGTGTGTGTGTGTATATATATATATATTGCAATATAAATGGGTAAGCCGTATTAGTCCAGTAGACAAGATGTCAAAAAAGACAAAAACGCAGTATTGCAGTGTGCAATGATACCTTTCTTATTGGACTAACAAAATATATTTGCTGGGTTGCTGCCATTCACCTCTCTGGTGGATTAGTCATGCACATGCAATGCTGGTCAGTTTTTCTGCATTAATATTTGCCAGACTAAAAAATGCAACTCCCTATCATTTAGATCAGCCATATAGTGCTGTGGTTACTACCTGAACTTCTTGCATGAGCTAAACAGTGGCCATCTGTGTTGAGGTTTAATAGTATATAAGGCTTGTGCTACTTGTGGCATGTTTTAATGCCTGCATGCATAAATCTTAGCCTATTTGCATGAGAGCATGCATTAAATAGAATGTCTTTCATCATTAAAACTGGGGTGTGATGGGGAGTAAGTGTCTTTATAAATATTTTTGTCTAGCTTTTTCCTAATTTATTTTATAACTTATCATAGGGAACAGAGGGATCTCTGAGTCTGTGGTCCCCAAAGCGTACAAGTCTACCTTGCATATGAATCTACTATTGCTCCTGAAAGGCTTAAATACGCTGGTGTGAGTCTTGGGGTTTTTACCCTGATTAATTTTCGATAGGCGGAATTCTCTCCTTCTTCCAGATATAGAGAGCAAGATGGCCCTGACCACCACGAAAGATCAGGCGTCAGCCCTTGCTGTTCTTTTTTTAAAGACCTCTGGCCACTCGCTCATTGATTCAGTCTATTGTGCGAAGGGTCAATCGTATAGCTCCCCTACTACACCCTCTTCAACTGTGGGTATTCTGACTCCAATTGTTGTATTAGAGATGTATCCCTTGCTGAGACCTCTATGCCTGGCCTGTATAAGCAGATATAATCACTGCGGACAATCCTCAGATAGCTGAATTCACCAAATACCTTTTCATCCACGGAATGCTTTATTGGTTGCAGCAGGTTCCAGCAGACAACAGGATACAGCAGATGAATGAATAGATGACATTTGAAGGTCAAGGATGATAATGTTTCAAGATAGCATGTACATGTAGTCTTGTTATAAGCAGCCATGACACTCAACTAGTGCTTGAACAAAAAAGGGGAAATAAATCATAGATGAGGGAACACAGAACAACATGGTGCAATAACCCAAAACGACCACAAGATGTCAGTACAATATTTAGCTGTACAATACCAATAAGCAAATGGCTTAAGGAAAATAAAATATATGGATCCTCATTTAACATTAATATGAATGCTAACTATGACTATGGATAGTTGTCATTTTTATACAACTATTGTGACAGCACAGTGGGACTTGAACTTGGTTTTATCAGCTCTTCAGAAGGCCCTTTCTTTAATGAGACATTTCCCATCTTCTTTTCCTCACAAGGTTGGATTGCTTCTGATGATCACTTTGACTAGAAGGGTTTCAGAGATGACAGCGCTGCCTTTTACCGAACCCTTTCTAGTGTTCCACAAGCAGAAGGCTGGAGTCAGGCTGAGACATTCCTTTTTGCCCAAGCCGCACTCTGCTTTTCACTTGAATGAGGACAGTGTCTTGAGTTTTGTTTTGTCATTTGTCTTTCTGAAGTTTCTCTTATAAAGGTGCCCCAGATTACAGTTCCACCATTTCTCAGTGAATTTGCCACACTGTTCAGGAGTGTGAGTTAAGGGAAAACATTCCCACCTTAACTGTTAAGGCTCTTTCACTATTTTGTCACCAGGCACTTGCAAAGCTGTGACTTGGGCCTCAGCACACATTTTCTCTATAAGTTGTATGTGTGGGCATCAGCAAATGTTACCTTCAATCACAAGATTTTTAAGTCACTCTTTGAGTCTATTTGTTTCTGGGCTCTTTTCTCTTTTCTGTTGCAGTGTTTTCTGGTCTACAGTGCCATCATCATGATTTATTTCCATTGGAGTTGTTAAGAAAGTTTCCACTTTGCACCTAACCCATAAACTACCAACTGCAGCTATTTGTCATACTTTCATTTTCTATTACAAAAATACCTCTCTCAGTTATGGACTGAATCTCCCGAGAAAAAATACTTCCTCTTGCAAGTGGAAATTTTGTGTCTAATATTGGCTTTACATGCAGTAATTTGAACAGTCAAATGGACCATGTCAACGAACATTCTACAGGTAGCCATGTGGTTCGCCATGTTGTCCAAGTCTTTACTGCAGTGCAGGTGCACTTGATCTTTTCATATGTACGATTTGTGCTTTAGAAGTAGCGCTGTTTTTACACTTTAGCCTGAAAACCACTATAAGTTCAGAAGTAAATATAAAATGGGTAAGCGGTATTAAAACACTTTGCCTCTTGCTAACAGTGTGTGGTAATCCTCCACCACAATTTGAATTATAATATCGAACTGTTTAATTTGAACAGAAGTGTAAGATTCAGTTTAACAAAAAATCTATTGACCCATAGTTAAGCAGGATTCCTTGCCCTTGCAAAAAGCTGGATCCCTTAAATACCTGGAGATTACTCTATTCTAGATCTGTAATGACCCAGTGGAGTTTATTAAACTCAGACTGGCCTCCATGATTAAAACTAAGACTAAGGTCTTGAGGCTTTCTTTAGGGATTATGGACAGAATCGGTTTAAGACCGCAAATTCTTTGTCCTTTGGCACTCCCCTGTATATGTTTCCCCTTAAATGTTTCAAATATACAGACTATATTGAGGCCCTTTGCCTGGGGCAATAGCAGATGTAAGCTGAAATGGGCACTTCTTACAAACTCCATAGATAATGGCAGCTTGGCATTACCTGTCTGCATGGACTTTACTCTTGCTGTACAACACTCACATCTTTCCATGGCTACAAAAAGAACAGTTGGGATGCAATATTTGGGTATCTGGAACTCTTTGGTTCACTCCAAATCCTAAGGGATCTAGAAATCTCCCAATAATAATCTTTTGACACAGACTGTCAAAGTTTGGGAGATATCGCTAACTAAACTAAATGTTCCTGTCCTTAAAGTGACACTAAAATCAGGAGTTAACTCTTAACAATACGTTCAAGTACCTTAACTAGTAACAAAAATGTATCTTATTTGTGTATCACTCGGCTGCAGATCCTCAAATCATCTCTGAATTGGTGCTGACATTGTCCTTCCTTCTGGAGGGTGGCTACTTTTGTTCCCCATGGTCCGTGTATGTGTTGTAAAGTGGCCACTTCTGTTCACTCACTTTGAATTTTGTAAATGAATACAAATAAACAATACAAATATACATTTTTGAAAGCATTTTTTCACTCCTGCCTAAAACTTTTGCACGATAATGTATGACTTACCTTTTCTCCTTTGTTATACATTGTGGAAAGAGGAGAGCAATGGGCTCCGCTGCAGACAGACCTAGCAGTATTTTTACAGTCAGTGTTAACACAATGTTAAATCTGACTGTGGAAAGAACTCAACATAGACAGTTAAATAAAGTTTAGTTTTAGTTTTTTGTATTCTTTTGAATGTCCATGGGATGCAAACTCAATATTTGGAGGGTGAGTTATACATTTTTTGTTAACTTTTTCATTTGATTATAACATTACTGTACAGTACGTGCCCCTGTTATTCATTATTCTACTTTTGTATAACCAGATTGAAATTTGTACTGTACTACTCACCTTGTATATTTGTAAAACACAAGTACACCTTTTTATAAGCAAAAAAAAAATCTATTGGTCCAAATCAGTTTCCTGTCCTCTGCTTCCACAGACATGAGGGCTTTGAATAACTTCACTCCTGAGCAATGTGTTGACAGCAGCCTATAGTACAGCTGCAGGGGCCTTCCAGTCAGATGACATTAGTAGAGAGATATAATCCTTTTCTGCTCACTGTTGTAGAATAAACAGTTACTAAACGGGAAAACAAAAAGGATGTGAAGGAATATTCGAAAACTGCTTTGCCAGCTGTTTGATGATCTGGTCTGCCCCAAGAAATATACCAGCTTGGTGCACCTGCTATCATAGTAAGAAAACACGGGGGTCCTTGTGGATTAATTAAACTGCAAATGGGAGTTACTGTAATATATAGGATTGCTGAAGCTTTGTCTTTAGTATAATCCAGTGGAACTTCAAGGTAAATTCATCTTCAGGGCCAATATTTGCATAATGGGAGAGATTGCACTTTTCTTTTGGTAATGCTCTGATTTAGCAATATGAAGTTACATTTTAAAGCAGCTAGTAATAACCATAGTCACAGCTAGTGCTAGAACTGTTAGAAATTAAAATACTTGATAGAAGTTTGTGAAGGAACAACTTGTACACTCATTACTTCTTATTCTTTAATACCAAAGAACTTTCCAACACACCCTCATAGGCAATAGGATAGTAGCGAACAGGCACTTCCATATGGTTGTCATATAATAAGAGCAAAGGCCATGAAGGTTAGACCATGGCTTTCATTAGTACTGGCATTCTGGCAGCTGGATCTCCATTTCTGGAATATGGCAGTATATTATATCTTGTGTACATAATTTAAGATGCAGCTCCAGTCTTGGCAATCATAAGTATACACTAGGGATGCACCAGAATTAAATTTTTAGATCCAAACTAAAAATTAAACATTTGCCGAACCGAAAATGACTATTTTTTGTTTCCAACCTTTTTACAAATATGAAAATTATTTTGTAATTTTTTTTAAACTTTTAGTGGCTTTGGGGAAATATCAGAGGTCTGAACAAACCCCTGATGTTTCCCTTTTAAAATAGAAAAAGAGATTGAGGACACAAGAGTCCTCAATCTCTTTTTCTACAGTCCCTGTTATGAATGAATAGGAATCCTCTATACTGAGTGCTCCTGTCCATTAATAAATTGGGGAGATAGTATGAGGTACTATGTCCACAATCATGAATGAACTGGAAGTGATATAGAGCACGTCCTGTTAATTCATAACTGGGGACACAGTAAGCATACTATCTTCTCGGTTATTTACAAACCCTCTGCTCCGCTCTCCGCAAGACCGACTGCTCCACTCTCCATCCTGACTCGTCTGTCACAGGAGGCTGAGCTGGGCTGTGTGGGAGGAGAGCTCGGCTTCCTGTGACAACTGACAGCTCTCTCCCTGCACTGTCCCGCTCGGCATCCTGAGAGCTTCTCTCCTCCCGCTGGAGGCTGGTCTGTGTCCCCTCGGATCCCCCCGACATATGCAGTGGAGAGCAGCAGGCATCAGAGGGGATACAGACCGCCCTCCAGTGGGGAGGAGACAAGCTAGAGATGTACTGAATTTCTTTGCCATTATGGTACTATCGGCATTTTGCCCATACTACCATTTTCGGCTGAAAATTTTCAATGGCCAAAATTTTGGTGCATCCCTAGTATATACTGAAGTGAAATTCTCGCCTCTTGGCAGCCATTTCAGTAACTGATTGCTTGGAAGGTGCTGCACTGGTTACCTCTGTGGTATGTCTTCTGCAGCTGCTGAGTGTGTGGCAATGAGATTTTCTCATAGATTTAGGTGGGAGAGGACATGCAGGAGAAAATACTTGCTGTGGGCCTTTCTAAAGCGCAAACTACAGTAATAGATCCATGGAGATTAGGTTTGTACCTCAGTTTTGCTGCTGCAGTCTACAGTATTACTAACCTGCTTTTTGTCTTCAGTATATGACCTTGGGATTGATTGCATCCATGTGTATTTGCATGGTGTTAATCTGTTAGGCAGATTGTGAACTTGGTTTGTCATTTTCTACAATGTCTTGTGGGTAAAAATGTAATTCTTTGTGCTGTAGGTGGAGGATGAAAAGGGAATTTCACTACGCTTCCCACGTTTTCTTCGAATTCGAGATGATAAAAAGCCAGAAGAAGCTACAAACAGTTATCAGGTACTGAAAATGCTCTGTGTATTTCTTTGCCTTGCATCTCTTTTTAACCTCTTCATGACTGAGGCCTTTTTTTCATTTTTTTGCACCCATGTTATATTCCACATTTTAGGCCTGAAAATGACTTAAAACCCCCAAACATTATATATTTTCTGAATGCCAAGACCCTATAGAATAAGATGGTGGTAGTTGCAAATTTTTATGTTGCGCAATATTAGCGCAACTCCTTATTAAACCCCAACATTTAGTGAAAAATTTAATTAAATGCCCCAAAACACAAGAAAATACCCATTTTTTTAAATGGGGGGCGGCCCTTCTACGGGACACAGAAGCGATCTGGCGACAGGTAAGTCGCCAGAATCGCTTCTGTTGTAAAGCCGACAGTCGGCTTTACAAGTTTAAACAGACTCCCGGCTGCAATAGCCACCGGGAGTCTGTTTAAACAGCCCCAGAGCTGTCGACGTACACTGTACGTCGTCAGTCACGAAGGGGTTAATGCTGTTATCCATTTTCTCTCACTTGCACTGTGTCTCAGAGACTGACATTATTATTTTAGCATCACAGATCATAAATGTTTTAATTTTTATGAAGAACAGCTGTTTCCTTATTCTGTAATTACACTGCTTGCATTAGAAGATATATTTAATATTAATCAATACAGAGCTGCATTATTAGTGTCTTGTGTCTGGAGAACAACTTTAACTGCTTGAAGACCAGGTGTTTAGATCCCCTACCTGGCCAGGCCATTTTTCAGTGTTCAGCGCTGATTGGCACTTATGGCTTTATATATCTTATGTAAAAGTTGCTTTTTAATTGTTACTCAGTTGTGTTTGTGCCTTTTACATCACATTCATGGCTTTATCATTGCATTGGAAACATATTTATAAAAATTACTTTTGTTTACTGCGCTCCACTGTGTTTAGAATGTGTTTTGGATCTAAAATCTTTAAAGCCATACTGTAACTTCAAAAAGCAGGACGACTTAACCCAATAGCATACAAAAAGCCTAAATTTAAATTTTTTACCGTTCTTAGTAGTTAAAGTGCTAATCGGCCAAAAATCCATGGCAGCCTGACACATCCCTAAATGCAGTACTTCAGCTCTGACCTAGCAAGGGGCGTGTAAGACCACGGTATCCACACAGACAGCAGCTGGGCTTTAGATTGAACCTGTGTTTTCCTTTGCAGGGCAAAGCAACAGGTTCACTTTAAAACCAGTAACCCACAACTCTGGCCTAAACTCCCCTTCTTTTTGTAGAAAGTAGCTCTAGTTAAAACTTTCTTAGGACAGCAGGCTTTCTACCTGTCCCAGCGTGACAACATTGAGTGCCTGAGCTGACAATTGCTAATTCACTTGGGAGTAAGGGAAGTGAGTTGCATGCTCCCCAATACCTGGAAGAACACAATGTTACCACAGGCAAACACCATTAGGTGAGGGAAGGAAAGGGGGGGTATCTGCTGCTGCTCAAGCCATGCTTGATGTAAATCTGTTGCTTTGCCCTTAATGTGCAACGCACAGTTTTAGTGATGTCATTTGTCAAATGCTTTGTAGGAGATGTAACATTGGGGGGTAGGGTGCAATCTAGAAATAGCCACTCTCCAAAGGTCTTCACCGAAGATAGAAATATTTATAATATTTTATTAAATAAACGCTCACTGTGAATGAGGGCTAAATGTGTAACTGACATACCATTGAAACATTTCATGATTTGTTTTTCAGGTTGCCGAGCTTTATAAGAAACAACAACAAATACAGAACACATCTGCAGAGAAAGGAGATGATGATTTCTACTAGATTTGTGTAAATAGTAAACCATATTGTTATGGAATAAATAACTAAATGTGATTGCAGCATGTATGTATGTTCATGTACCACCATTGTCTGATAAAACAACCACCATTTCATTCAGTATTGCTAAATCTCTGACAAGGAAATGTAACCTTTACCTGTTAGCAAAACCTTTATATGGGTTATGTATGATAAATGTTGAAGCATTTTCTTTCTTTTTTTTTTATTGGATGTTTTGCATTCCTACATAATAAATGTTCACATCAGTATACAATGTTATAGCTGTCTATTTATGCTTCTTTCTAGTCATTTGGTTTAACATCATTCCTGTGCAGCTTTTTTTTTTTTTAATAAGGAAAGAAGGTAGGTAGGTGCTGCTGTGTAAGCATTTCATTGTATGAATTATTTTTTTTTTTTATAAGATGCTACTGAAAACAATTTTGAAAATTAAAAAAACTGACTTGTTAAAACTCCAACCTTTCCTATTTTATGCTGACCCCTTTCAGTCCCCTTCTCTAATGTCACCGGCTCGGGTTTTGACCAGTTTGGCAGACCTGCCTCTATGGACCATGTAGTCCCTGCTGTAGTCCTTCACACTCTTCAGGTGACTGTGATAGTGTCTTCTTTCTGCACGTTGGGGGATTTCCATTTCTGGAGTACCCCAATCCCTGGAGCTACCATCTGGTTCCTGAGAACATATATCTGTAAAAAAATAAGTCAAGGCAACTGGACTTGCTGTATTTTTCTTGAAGACGTTTCACTAGTAAATCCGACCAGTTTTCTCAATTCAGAAGAATTTGATTCTTCAAGAAAAATACAGCAAGTCCAGTTGCCTTGACTTATTTTTTACAGATATACCATGACCTGGATAAATGAGAGCCTTCACAGACATACTAAGAACATATAGTTCCCTTGCCAAGTTTCCTGGTGTTGGACACTATCTAGGTATTGCACTGCCTTCACCACCATGAAGGAGTGTGAGTCCTCCCTGGATGTTCTAGAGAGCATTAGCCTCGTCTACACTGTCTTTCTTAAGGACCATGCCTTAGAAACCGGTCCTGAACCGGTAGCCTTTGCACTGAGTAGAGGTTTGCTGACTTGTACGCACATCTGATCCTACAAGGCGTGCAGAGATCATCACTGGAGTGCCTCCCTGGACTGTCCGCAGTCGGAACACCCTGGCTTTCTGCTGCAGGTACTCTACTGGGGCTAAAATATGTCCAGAGGACTTTGTGGGTCTTACTTCTTTGGCTCAAATGTCATAAATCCTGTGGCACTCCTTACCGGAAATCCACAAAAAATATTGATGGGTGCTCGTAATGACAGCGGATGGCGCCGCTCACAGAACAACTTGGAATAGAGATGTCATCAGCACGACAGAGACTCATAGGTCAGTGCAAATCCATTTAATGATAGTATGCTGCGCTTGGTATGTGAAGGAATAGGTAAATACTGTGTTACCTGTAAAACAACTGTGTATCATATATTAATAAGTGACCGTGGGCTGTTACATGCGTTCTCTTACATGTTGGTTAGGATAACGGACAGTATTGGCTCCATATAAAGGACTTGCTGACTTTTGCTTATTGATTGGAATTATACCCCAGATGTAGGATTATATTCTGAGACCAACTCCCCTTGGAGATTTCTGGCAGGTAGATCAAAGCATTTAACAGCTGAGTGGTATAAGAGAAAAGCCCCCTCCTATTTGGTGTCTCCATATTTGATCGTTTTATATTGTTTGCCATATTGTTTATATAAGCTGCACAGAAGATATTATTACAAGTTTACACGACAACTGTCCCAAACTCTGGTGGTATTTTTACCTCCAAAGGATTGGAAGAAACAACACTTAGGGGTCTATTCACGAAGCTGCCGAGGGCAGCCAAGTGAATGATGATTCTGACATCGATCGTGTCAGAATAAAGAAAAAAAAGGACACAGCACTGTTTCTCTTCTGGGTGGCCGGGAGCGGGAGACTCCCGGAGAGTTTGCTGTTTGGAGATCAGTGTCCCTGGTTAGCAGGTAACCAGGGATGCTGATCTCTCTGAAAGTGACCGGAGCCAGCCGTAAGATCACAGCTGGCTCCGCCCAGCTGTCAGAAGCAGGCTAATGGCCGGCCGCTCGGCCAGCTTCGGCTTTCAGCACGGCTCAGGTCATGATCGGGAGCTGTACGGGCTATAGTGAATAGCCCGTACAGCACCCCTTCGGTTCTACTAAACCGAAGGGGTCCTGGGGCCGAAGCTAGCCGAAGGATCGGCCGAAGCTACGGCCAGATCCTTCGGCAGCTTCGTGAATAGACCTCTTAATCACATTTTTTACTATTTAGTTTTTATTTAACATAAGAGAAGATTTGCACATTAAGAGTTCACACAGGTTTTTTGGAAACAATTTATTACCAGAAGGAATCACTGTATTAATTCATTTAATAACCAACATGTAAGAGAACGCATGTAACAGCCAACGTCACTTATTAATATATGATACACAGTTGTTTTACAGGTAACACAGTATTTGCCTATTCACTTCACATACCAAGCGCAGCATATTATAGATTTCACTGTGGTTCTGATTGCACATTGCTGCAGCTGGTAATTATTGACACATGGTGTTTTCTCCTAGCGCAACTTCTTGTTATCTTCATTTAATGATAGATTTCACTCAGAATATCAAGCGCTTTCTGGGCCATGCAGGGTCCCCTTCATCAGTACTTTCTCTTAGTGGCAGGCAGGTTCCCCTCTGGTAGCAGGTTGCAACTCACCCATTTCAGATTTGGGTGCTGGTCCTTAAATTAACAATAAAGGCTAGGTGTTTTTTTACATTAATGCATTCTCTGCATTAATATTTAAAAAATGCCCAGTGCCCCCTCCCCTCCCCTTACCTGCAGTTATTCATCTCCTCTGCTGGGACCATGAAGATAATCAACTTTCCCCGAACTTCCTGCTCCTGGGGGGAGGTTACTGAGGGCAGAGTTGCCATAGCTGTGGAAATGCGCACGCATGGGTGTCTCCTCAGCAGCTAGCTTGCTGATGGAGGCACCCACAAACAGGGAGAGGGGAAAGTGGCTCGGCGACAGCTACGAAAGGTGGAAAATAAAACTTTAAAAGCAGAAACAAATGTAATTTCAAGCAAGTCTGGCCCTCATAATAATAATAATAAAAAAAGGTTTAATATCACTTTAAGGCTGATCCTGGGTTGCTGGTGGTCCCCAGTCCTCATAGTGAATCCTGTTAGTGTTTGGGGCTGTTTTGCCCACCCATCACCTAGACTGCTTTTGAAAGTCCCAACTGTATCTGAATTCCTGTGTCCCTTAATGGTTAAGATAGAAAATTGGATTTTTCTACTTACTGTAAAATCTATTTCTTGGAGTCCATTGAGGGACACAGCTCCCTCCGCTCTGTTTCCGTTCATGTTCATGGTACTGCTTAACCACCAAACTGAGACATGCTAGGTAGAGGAAAGGTTATACTTGGGGCTGGCTTACAATGTTTCTGTTTGTATATGTTTGCCAGTGTCCAATCCTCCTGTAGGTGGCAGTATTACATGACTGTCTGAATTCCTGTGTCCCTCAGACTGCAAAAATGGGTATTATAGTAAGTGCACAAATTCAGTTTTATTGTTTATAAAATGGGATTTCTAATTTTGTGTGCAAATTTAAAATAAAGCAATTCGAGCATGGAGCTATTTTTTTTGCTGCTGCCTCACCTAATCTGTTTCACCACTTTCTGCCTTCAACACAACTGTAAGTTGTTGCTTTAGGACTAGCTTAAGCAGTTTAATTACCCTGGTCTTCAGAAGATATTAAAGGAAGTAGGGTTAGGTGAGGATATCCTTTTGAGGATATTGGAGTGTTGGGCATTATGGCATTTATTTAGCAGCCTTCAAAGTAAAAATAATTTTGCAGAACCCTTGTTTATTAGAAGTGTTATTTTATCTATCTTTAATTCAGCGTCGCAGCCGTTTCGTTAGACTTGTGAGTTTGTTGCAATATGTCTAATAAATCTGGCTGTCCTCACAGTGAACTCAAAAAAATAATTTTACAGTGCAGAAATGCTATTGGTAGAATGCAGTATCTTCAATTTTTGCCAGAACTTTTTTTTTTTGAAGCAGAAAGGTTCTTTCCATGCTAAATGAGATGTTAATATACTTTTCTCCACATTTTAGCCACTTCAAGGTAATGACTTCTCATTTGGCACGGGAAGAACCTTCTTTCTTCTAAAAAAAAAATAAAAAAAAAATTCAGAAACCATTTTCTTGATCTAGTAACCGTACGATCACACAGAATTTGTATGGGTCTGTAATTTCAATTATGGTCCTTTGCTATGAATGCAAAATTCTATCACTCCCGGAAAAAAAATGAAAAAGGCTTTAACAACCTCAATAAAGTTCTCAGACCTGCTGCTCCTCAGACTTGAATTCATAATCGACAGTTAAAAAGTGCCTATGTAGAGAGACTACGTGGTTGTACGCGTGTCGGGAAATGCCATAGTATTGAGTGTCCGTCGACTACTGTTTTGCACATGGGAGCACTACCATGTCTTGGTTGAATTACCTTGTATCATCATTGCAAGCATGAGATGTGTACATGAGAATTATATTTGTCTTTTGTTTTTGTTTTACTTTATCCATCTGTTGATGGAATGAAAACTAATAAAGAAGTGTTTAAAAAAAAAAAGTGCCTATTTATATAAGGCCTCTCTTTTGTTTTGTCCTAAACAATAGATGATAAGCGCTTTACATTTGTGTGTAGTCAGCAGATGCATAAAAAGTCAGTTTCCACTGAAAATTTGTATATAATGAAGATGGTACCTTAAATGATAAGAGTTTAGAACCAGTGGTTTAGTTTTGGGTTGTCTGGCTACTATCAAATACGCAGCAAAACTGAATGTTAAAGCACAAAATTTATTAAGTTGTGTATAAAATAGTTAAAAAAAATATTTTTTCCACATATGGCAGCCTAACACATATGCGCTTACACATACTCTAAAAGGACCCCGGCAAACATAATTCTAAGGGATTTACTGAGCACACTTCCCTTTTTACTGGTTGTTTAGTTGGAAAAAGTATGATCTTCAACCCAGAATAGAGCAGTCCCAACATTGTTACAAAACAGACACCCTTGTGTCTATCTCCAAGCAAAGTTTTTGTTTTTAAAAACATTAGGGTTGGTAGTCTTGCTGTTGTCGAGGATGACCTTCCAGGGTGCTTTCAGAAACTTTAGGATTTCTGTGCAAGAACATCTCTTAGCTGGGTCGGGGACAATCAATTGTGTCAACATTTCTATGGCTGCTTCACTAAATGTCTTCCATTGGTTTGGAACCCGGAAAATCCTTTTGCTTCTTTGCCATTTGGTGTATTCTACATAGTGATTATCAGAGGTAACTGCAGACGTCCATGGAAAATATCCAGTTAAAGTGGAAAAGAGGAGAACCCCAAATGACCATGTATCTAAACTTGTATTTGCGATTAGCTTGTCTGATGCTCCAAGGTGGCACATCTCTGGGGCTGTGTAAGGCAAATTTTCAGGCATTGATTCCACAGATGTTCCATTTCGGCAGGAGAGTCCAAAATCTGTTAATTTAATCTGTCGACAATCTTTATCAAAGATGAGAATATTTTCAGGCTTTATATCACGATGAACCAGACCCTTCTTATGCATGTAATCTATTGCGCTGGAAAGCTGGATAGCGCAACGCTTCACTGAATTTTCTGGCACACCAACCTAACAAAAAGAAAATAAATCAGTCACCATAAATGTATACAGCTGACTGCTAGTGATTATCCATAGACCAGTACTTCAATGTGATTCTTAATATTTGGGTGCCAACTGGTCTTGTCATGGGTCTTTGGCGCAGTTTTCAGGAAAAAACACACCTTTCATATGGATTGATAGTAATACATGTAAAACAAACCCATCTAAAATGCGCTACACTGCAACTGCAGCACATGAAAAGTGCCTTAGTGTGAATGCGGCCTTATGGAAAAAAGGTATCAAGAATTCAACATGAAAGGTGAGACCACTCCATGAAAGCCATGGGAGATGGGTAGAACTGGGAACACAGAAACACAGATCTTAAAACCAAAGGCCCTTATCATATAAGAGAGATCATTATTCATGTTAGTTTGCTCCCTGCATCCTGGCCAGAGGCTCATCAGGATATTGTAACTATGTTGATAACCACGGGTTTCAAACATCCAGGCCTATGGCGTTCTGTAATAATTACTGGCAATAAGGCAGGCAGCTCATTCTGTCCAAGCCAGGAGGCTGCAGGCCAATGTTTGAAAGCCGCAGTTACCATCCGGAACAGCTCCTCTGTCTACTACCTCTTTGCACAGGCTGCAGAGACATGTAAAGATCAGTAATTTGTTCCAGATGTGTTCATGTATACTGTATCCATCACTGGAATGTATTAAATATAACATTCAAAAACAGCTGCAAAAAGTTGGAAAATAAGTCCTCTAAAGACATGCAAAATATAAAACAGAAACATCTCAATGTACCTGAGGCTTCATAAGGGAGAAGAGATTATCATATGCAACCTCCTGGGCAAACACATAATGCCTTTCTGTCTGAAAAGCAATTCCGAAAGTATTGATAATGCATGGGTGAGTTGACAAGCAGAGGGATATGCAGTACTCAATAAGGAAAACGTGAAGGTCAGTTGTGTTTTTTTGCATGAACTTCAGAGCCATCAGATTCCCTGTAATACAAAATACAGACGTAGATGTATTAATATTACTTTTATTTTTGTTATTATTATTGCACTGGTTAAGGTAATGTTGGAGCAGGAGACCAAATTGTGCAATGTTTTGGCTAATTCAGCCTAGTGCTGCAAACAGTCTCTGATCTCCTTTGTAAACAAAAAGAAATGGAATACTTAAAAATAGACATTGACCTAAAACAGGTATGCAGAGCAGGAGTTCTAACTTCAGCCTGACTGCTTGCTGCATTCTTGTTCAGGGTCAGCGACACAAAATTTTGCAGCGAGAGGAAGCCAGACAACTATTATTTACATAGTTGTTAGGAAGTTATCACAGTCATTAATTGTATAAAAATGCCAAATATTTCAGCGTTGGCACGGATCGTAGACTATGTATATGCATATCTTGTATTTTCAGCATATTTGGTACAATCTTTTCCATAAAAGTTTCATATCTAGATTGGTCCTTTGGAGTTCGGTTTGTTAAAGCTTACACTAAAGCAAACTTTCTTATCTTCATATTATTTGATATATTATCTATCTATTCAATCCATCAACCACTTCATAAATCTCTACTTTTCCATATGCTGTCTTTCTCTTAGCAGAATGTGTCACTAGTACAGTACATTAGGTCTATATTCTCTGCTGCCCTAATTTTTTCTTGCTTCACATGTCAGCTGCTTACGCACTTTCCTCCTTGTCACTGTCAAAATTGCTGACCTCCCCCGGACCTATTGTAATGAACATCAATGTCAGGCCATCGTGCTATCAGAGTGAAGAGCCAAAGCCCCATGCTTCATGTAACACTCTAGTTAAAAGAAAAAGAAAATCGCTGTGTGGCTCCCTCTCTGATCATCTAAGTGGGACATACTAAACCAGATAAAGACTCAATATTGATGCAGTGTTATGGTAACATCTACAACATCACGTACTTCCTGTGCTTTGAGCATGATCTAAATGTATTTGTGGAACTATTGTGATGCAGTGCCAAGATGTGTAGTGCCTACTGGGAATACAATGTAAAAGATGTGCCACTTGCACAGTGCTCATCACGTGTCTGTAGAAAATTAACAACTTGTTTCCACAAAATGAAGGTGCCCATCGTGGTGGAACTTCTCTTTGGGGATAGGTGAATGTGATAATAGGATAAATAACTGACTAGTTTCCTTTTTTTTATAAAATGTTTTTTTAATAAAATGTAATAATAATTTTTTTGTAGGTATAACGGTCAAAACACTTGACCATTTTCAATGCTGAAGTCTGATACATGTTTGATTAAAGTTACATCCAGCTCTCCCATTACATTTTTATTCTTATTTTTGCATAAAATGGGGAAGGTCAAAACATGTCAGGGTTCTTTTGGTAACATTCAACCTCCTTTCCCTCACTATCACCCACAATCAGAGGGTGTAGTTAAAGGTGGGTGTTTATTTACCATGTATGGCTCCATGTTTCCCCTTTGTATAGGCAAAACTGGGCCTGATTGGGAAGTAAAATAAGCCCCACTGGAGCATGCAATAATAACCCCAGCAATAACGCCAGGTACATTATTAAACCCTCAGCACTGCTTAATAATAACCCCCCAGCTCTACACAATAATAACGCTCTATTATCTTTCTAATATCTAGCTTTTTAAAGCACGGTGCTCATTTCCAACACAATTACCAGCAAGTCCGCAAACTAATTCAATACGTAGCATTTAAGGAGTGCTGATTTATAAGGTGCCACTGTTAGACGTGCACCTGACTACAATGATTATGGGCAATAGTGTAGGACAGGATGTTGAATGTTTGTTACTTTGGCTGTGACTGTCACCAGCACCGCCAAAATATTCATGCCACCCTTTCCTGGGTCACTTAGACACACTGTTGAATTTGTTTGTTGACTGGCTGGTAAGTGTTCTGGAAATGTGCACCTCACTCTAAAAAGTTGGCGATTGATTGCTGGAACCCATTGGAGGTCTTCAGCAGCCTGTGTGTTGTGCAGGGTTTTGGTGTATATCTGCACCTTTAAGGAGGAATTTGTTACCTATAGGCATACCTGCCCTTAATTTATGTATTGCTGCGCATGTCCCAGGTTGGAAGCTTTCTTAGATTAGGGACCGCACTATACAGAGGGACCTTGACGAGGCAGTGTAGCTTTTATGTAAATTTGCAAATATATTCTCCTAACACCTCTGTTTTTAATACATGGTATTTATGGAGTACTGGCTATTTCTGCTTTAGGCTTTTATTGCTGTCTCTATCTGCACTGCGGTTATTTACCTTCTTTTTCTATTGTGCCACCAGGACAGGGAGAGACAAAAAGAATATCTCTATTCTTTTTATCTGCAACAAAATCTCTTTTATTAGCAGAGTGGGGAAGAGATAAAACATGTCAAGCTTTTTCATGCATTCGGTGTCTTCACTTCCTCTTGCATTCTACTGAAAGAATGGGTTTAAAATCTGTCTAAAGGGGGCATGCGCAGCAATAAAAAATATGGCATGTTTGAATGCTTCTCCATTCTAATCCGCTTGTCCTGGATCAGAAAGTACTGAAGCCACGGACAGAAAAGCATTTTAAGAAGGAGGCCAGCATTGACAGCCTTCATACAGTATTTCTGTCAGTAGGAATTTCCTTTAAAATTGCAGTTAAAAACAAAGTATATGTCACAGTCCAGCAATTTTATTACATGCACATATTAAATGAAATTGAAACATTTATTCACTTAAATATGCCAACAAGTTGTTGTCTTACATTCTCATGGTATGTTTTTGTGAAGGGGCCCATTCAATGAGGAAGTTCAAAGTGCAGTAACATCTTGTGAGTCCTGAATGATAATCCTTCACTGGTTGCTATAGGTCACCACTTCCTGCCCACAAGCAAATCTTGACATGTGTAATGTGAATATATGCTCACTATCATGGCAAGAATCACACATGTCCGCATTTAGAAATAAAATATAAATGTACACACATTGATTAAAAATAAATTGCATTTATTAGGTTTTTGCATTGCAACCGAGATCAGTGCATCATGGAAGCAATGCTTAGGATACTGTGGACTTCTGCTCCAACCAAGGTATGGACCTTTAGTTATGGGACTGAGGAAAGTAAACAATGAACTACAAGTACAGTGATGTCACCTCACTTTTGCTGTTTTGAGAACTATGAGTCCCTCTTCCACGGTGGCAGATGGAACTTGTAGTCCTCCATTCACTGATCCCTGTGAATGGATGATGTGGCTGTGCAGGTGCAGTCATGAACAACATCCCCTAGTTAAAAAAAATACAGGTGACTGTGAGGAAAAACACTGCACGATTCGGGGGGGGTAAATTGGACCGCATGGTCTAAATCAGTGGTTCTCAACCTGTGTAACCTCGGGACCCACATTTTTCCTTGGTCATTAAGTCGTGACCCAAAAATGATTCATTTCTGAGACATTTTCATTTATTACACAAAACAACTTGTGCAAGGTGGAGTATGCTTTTAACTAAGCAATACAAAAGATTAAAGCTCAACTACCATCCAGTACCCACTAGAATAAGGTCACTGAAGCCTACTCTAAACCCACAATCCTGGTATCTAGTGTATAGTATTTAAATGTAAATTGTGAGAATATAAAAGAAAACATTATTACAATCAATGTACACTGGTCTACTGAACAAGGACATTCAATGAGGGGAATGTATCAAAACTGGAGTAGACAAAATCTGGGGCAGCTGTGCATGGCAGCTAATCAGCTTCTATGTTTCATTTTTAAAGCTTCACTGGACAAACTGGAGAGAGAAGCCAATTGGTTATTATGGGCAACTGCTCTAGAATCTGTCTGCTCCAGTTTTTATATCCCCCCCCCCCATTGTCTGCAGGGCCCCTTTGTACAGATGATGACAACCTCCATTACCTACACATGAAAAGTTAGTGTCTAAAGTTTCACTCTTACCTCTTGATTGGTTCATTGCAAGTAGTACATGTCCATAGGAGCCACTGCCCAGCTCTCTGACAATAGTATAGTTATCTTCAACTTTAATCATCGTTAGGTTTTGAGAAGTTAAAAGTAGCATTTCCTCCAGGTAGTTCTCATTCCAGCGTTTCTCATTTAGGTTCATGTTTGATAAGGTACTTAGGTTTTCTTTCCTGTTAAAAAATAAAAACATTGATATTGCTGTATGAAATATTCGATACTATTTTAGATCAACAATCTGTTTAAGAATTATTATGAAATTGCAGAAAACAGTAGGTCCCCCTGCACTCCTTACAGCGTTTCCGATCCAAGTAACAATAGTGGTGCTCGCAGTGACAATCACGGATGGCCCCGTGCACAACAGTCAATGAATGATAGAATTCACCAGCACTCAGCAAATTAAGTTAAAAAAATAACGTCCATTTATTTGGACTAAACGTCACACATATTGTATTATCCAACGTTTCGGGACCACACAGGGTCCCTTCATCGGGGCAGAGATGTGACCACCTGCGTGGTCCCGAAATGTTGGATAATGAGATATTGGGGGTGATTTACTAACCTAAACACACGCACGCACTAGGTGCGTGTGATTTTTACACAGCAAAACGTATTTATCAACCAAAAAGTCTCTAAAAGTGTGAAGTTTAGTCCAAATAAATGGACGTTATTTTTTAACCTTCATTTGCTGAGTGCTGGTGATTTCTATCCTTCATTTATTGTGAAATTGTTCTATCATATAAATGTTAGTTGAACTCTTCTATCCCCATAGGAAGCTGCATGCATTACTAGAAGCCATCTCTGCAGGCTTTTCTCACATTGGTGGAAATGAGAAAGTATAGAAATCATTCCTTACTCGCCAGACTTTCTGACAGATCAGCTATCAAAAAAACTGGCCTCCTATTTCCAGGGACAATCTCAGGATTTTCAATAATTCTGAACTTCATGCACAACTTAGTGAGTGTTTACTCTGGCTTGCTCAATATCATATGTCTTGCCTTCATGATTATAGGTTGTTAGGCATTTACTACAGAAATGATAAAGCAGGCTTGGCTGTAGCAACTGAAAAAAAACACAGCTCATTATATATTAGTTGCCACAGTCGGTTAGTTGAGTGTATTAAGGTATATGGAGCTTGTGCATATGTTCTTCTGTTGTCTTAATATGTGTATACCTCTTTTGCATTGACCTTTAGGCTTCAGGTCCCTCTGCATGCTCTTCAGATACATAGAAGTCCATAATCAACATCCAACAATCTAGCAGATGAATTGGAGGATATAGAAGTCTACAGTGTTGGTCAGTGGTAGACTATTGCCTCTACTTTGTTGTTTAGAAAACAAGCACAGTGGGCCATGGAAGCTGAAGTTAAGCAACTCTGAACTATATTCCTATTCTTTCCATAGAGGTTGTCATATATCATTAATGTGCCTAAATTCTCCGCAACTGATGCCTGCCACTGCTGCCAGTACTAGAAGGAGTAGTCTCGTTTAAATCACATACAAGAAGTAGTCTATTTAATGGGCTCTACTTTTTTCCCCTGTTAACGCATACCTTCCATATTGTGGACGTTTACTACTAGTGATCCATTTCCCATAGTTTGGTTAAAAAAAAACCAGTCTAAGACAGCTAGACATTACGTTTCATAGGCTATAATAAAAAAAACTGGAGGAGCGGAACCAATTGGGGTTGACAGGAAGGAGATAGAACAATCCAGAAGATTTTAAGCCTTTTATATACACAGATCAGTTTTATTTAGTTTTTAAACTGTTTGATACTTGTGCTTACAATTCCTAAGAAAAATTGGTTACATCTAAACAATGCAGGGTGCAACCATAACAGGGTATACAAAAGAACTACAGGGGCAATTTACTGGAGCAGCTTCTATCTTCAGCTTGCACAGTTTAGGCTTGAAAATAAAAGCTAGAAGCTGATTGGTTGTCCTGCACAGCTGCTCAAGTCATAGTAAATTCCCCTGTATGAATTTTCTAACGAGAGTTTCTCTCTCTTTCTCTCTTTCTAACTACATATGGATCCCACAGGGAGGTGGGATTAGTCATTACACTGAATTGTATGTTTAAATGTCAGATTCAGCTATTACACTTTGTAAACAAACTTTTTTTTCCAAAAGAGCAGCTGCATGATGGGGCTGCCGTACGAAAATCGTACAACGATTCGATCAATGGACGAAAATATTCGTCAGATGATTGCAAGGTGTATGGGCACCTTTAAGAATAGACAAGTCAAAAATCTGAAAAGAGTCTGAGGTCTTATGTGCTGGCTGGAAATGAAAATACAAAATATTTGTAATTTCATACATACCTGACTAAAAATAAAAAATGAAAATTCTTGAGTCCTGACCATAGGAAATAAGAACAAACAAATATAAACATTTGTTTTAGGGCTAATTCACAGTAGAGGCAGTTGTGATGCAGTCCGTTCAGTTTGGCAGCTGCAGCCAAAATACATCACAATGCTTTCCTATGGAATTTCTGGTGCTCTATTCACACCAGTGCAGTCTGTTCCGATGCAGTCAGAAAAATACTGCTTGCCCTATTTTAGCTGCATCGGATCCCAACGAAACGCATCAAAATGCATAACAAAGCATACAAACGCACTAGAACACACCTAAAATCCTATTTAAGCAAAAAATAAAACACACCAATCGCAGTAAAATTGCGGCAAAACGCACAGATGCACTCAGTTCTGGTGTAAACTAGCCCTAAATACACAGTTTCTGCTCAAGGGCATGGACCCATCTATTCTGTTTCCATGCAAGATACCAGATTTCATCAGTTTAGCGTGAACATATAAATACTACTGTGTTTTTCTGGATCTTATGAGTAAAGCAACTATTTACTGGAATAATGGTTCATAATTGTTTGCAATGCCTCTTCTGTGGATATAACCACATAGTACTGTATACCCGACATGGATAAAATAATCCATCATAGGGACAGGTTGTACTGAAGAAAAATCAGAGATTAAAAATGTCTTGTGTGAACAACTTCACCTAGATCAGGCACTCCAAATCTGTGCTGTGTAAGAATCTCTCCTGGATCACCCTTCAAATAGATAACCTTAGACCTTTCCCAATGAATGACGTGTATAATCGTCACTATCACTATGCAGTGCCAAGTGTAGTGATCTGCAGATTGGGGGAACGTTCAAACACATGTCTGAGCAAAGGCAATTCATACATGGGGAAATTATGCTTCGTTTTAACTGAAGAATAATTATTTTATATGATATGTAATACTTTAGTGTACCACCTCCTTTTTTATGAGGTTGCAATTTCTGCAACTCCTTTATGCAAAAATTAGGAAAACAGAGATACGGTATGTATAAAAACTTTATGTAAGTAAAAACAAACTTTAATCCATATAAAATCTCTTATACAATGCACTGTAGCCTAGCCTTAGTGCTGTAGGGACACTGCTAGCAATAAAAAACTGACAGAGGTTTAAGGAATTTTCACTCCATATCTAAATCCCACTCATATCTAAAACTAAAAAAGACTTCATCCTAACCTCCCTATAAATGGAAATTATATTGCAAAGCATACTGTATCCTGGATGTTAAGTTGGTTATGTTATATGCATTTTGTTATGTATGCTTCACTTGACTTCAATAAAGAACTATTGAAAGTAAAACTAAAAGAGGGAGATCTTAAGATACCAAAGAATATGCTTGGATTACCAAACGTTGAAGACCTTCCCTTATGATATTAAGACATGCTTAGTGGTCATTGTTTCAGAATATGTGGGATATGCATCCCAATCTTTTCTACTACATGAACTGGATATCCAGGAGTCCAATTATTGTGATGACTGTAAGAATAGATAAACATTTCCCCTGACTGTAGTGGGTCACCCGGTATTAGTAGGTGTGCTACATTGGTATAAGTATGGCTTTAGATAAATGATTTTAACAACCTATACAAGTTAAAATGTATGAAGGATCACATAACAAAAAAAAAGTGGGACTCCAGCCAAAACTTTTTGTTAGTTTTTAGAGTTTAAAGTTAAATCTGCTTATATTCTGGCTTCCTGGGCAACTTTAAAACCCAAACTCGGGTCAACTTTTTTTGTTAGTTTTGAAAAGCGTGCGGAAGAATAAGAACTTGTCCAAAACCCTTTTGGGGAGACTCCTGCTGTCCTCACTTGTTGTCCCTGTGACATCAGGATACAAAATAGGGTAAAATGGAGTCTTTGGGCAGAGACAGCGGTAAACACCAGGCAGAGGTTCCATTGCTTCTCAGCTCTACCAAAATACTGTCTTTCTTGCTTATCATCATGGCTGAGAGGAGGCTCTGTTTGAAACAGAGGCATTGATTGGCTGCCGCTGTCAATGACTCACACTGAACCAGTTCTCAGCTGTAGTCTATAGCCAGAAGCAGTGGGGCACCAGATAATTATTTTGCTTCCGATTTCTATTTTTTCAGATGGTAAGCAATGTGGCGAACATGAAATCAGATTTTTTCTTTAGATCAACTTTAATATTTGTATCCTTCTCCAAGCTATCTATTTACTATTGCAAAGGCAGAACTTAGCAATATCTGAAACATATTTTATATTACATTAGACTTAACTTAAAATCGAGTAGAGCTATTTTTATGTTAAAAGTAATTCTCATAAAAAAAAAAAATAACCAGTAAAGCATATTTAATTTTTTGTATATTTTTTTTTTAACTTTCTAGTTTTTCCCATATTCTGTTTTTCAGAATTGCTGATAAAATGATTGCATAAAGAAAAAAAGATCTGGTGATGTTTGCAAGTCCAGAACTTTGTACATTGCTCTTTGCCCAATTAAATTATCCTGTTGATGTGCAACATGATGAAACATAAATAAATATGACTAATTTGCAAATTTGTTGGTAAAATGAGACCGTGAAGTATGTTAGCTCCATTCATGATTATACAACAGAAGCAGCTGACAGTATCTGGATTCATCGAGTATCAAAGCTGAACAGCACAGCCATGTGAAAATTCACCTTCCAGATGTTCTCTACTTGAACATTGCTGTGCAATGTGCAATTATAGTGTGCAAATTGCACTAACCCATAGCAAATAATTAGATATGAGTTTTAGATTATCAACCCCAAAACAGTTATAGATAAATAATAGTAGTCTCACTTCTTGCTAGAAT